TCTCTCTCTCTCTCTCTCTCTCTCTCTCTCTCTCTCTCTCTCTCTCTATGTGTATGTGTGTGTGTGTGTATTATGCGATCTTCATCATAGCGTTATTTATGGTTTCACAGCAAATATCTAGCGCGTAATACACTTTAACGGATGCCAAAAGCAGATGCAAAGTGCATTCAACCGTGCATCTGCAGGACAGACAAACCATTCAACGAAGGCATTCGCACGTAGCGCCCAATGAAGATAGCTCGTCGTCTTATCGGGACCCACAATACGGCGATAAACGATCGATAAAGGTGTTAGGTGTGCGGAACACAGTGGGGGAAATGATATTCTTGGTATCTAACGGAGCCTGGAGCTCACAATAGCGCATGCTGTTCGATGAATTCCGCGACTCCGCCACTGGGACTCGATGCAATCAGGCAGTCCAAGCTAACTTGAAAATCGGCTCAGTGAATTTCAACTGATTCGACGTTACGGCACTACTATTATTTCGTAATCTTGCTATTATTCTGCCGCAGATTATGTCGATATTCCACGCTATCGCGGGCCGAAGTTTCCAATTCCCAAAAGAAGATATTAATCCAGAACAACAAGTGTGACGCAAACACGCAACGCGCTTGCACTCGACTTCTCAAGTTAATTATTACTGCGTTATCGCAGTAAATTTATGTTTCGCACCACAAATTACTGATTATTTCGTGTTGAACTCTTACTGGGACTGTAAGTCGTCCTCACACGCGGTACTGTAATCATTATTCCCCGAGTGTTGCAATCACACTGAGGAAGTGAAATCATAAATAGTGGTGTCACATAACCAATCGCTTAATCTGATGAAAAGAAAAGGAGGATCCAGATCAACCGGTGAATTTGAACGCGTTTAACTCGAGGTATTTCCAATTTGAGCGGTTGGTCGGCCACTGAGTAATTCCATCTATTTAGCGTGCCACCCCGGGGCGTTATGAATAATCGCTTCCATTGTCGTTTGGTGCGTAATGTAAGGATCAGACACACACATAGTAGTAATCTGTACAATCACCGGAAGCACGTCCGGCAAATTGAACGCCTGCAAGTTCAGGAGAGACACAAAAGCTACTGCTATCCGGTGAACCGGTCATCCCTCGTTATCCTTGCTGTACCTTCCGCAGAAGGGACCAACGTAATCGCTTGATATAATTAATCAAGAGCAAAACAGAAATATTAAACTCGACTGCTCTCTCACTCTCAGAGCATTCGAACCAAAAAGAAAAATAAGACAAGAGAAAGAAAAAGGGACGAGAGTTCCTCAGGAATTTGTCCTCGTGTAATTCCGCCTACGCTCGGCATATTTCAGCTGCTGACTCGCGAGATTTAGGACCGTTCGCAAATCCAATTAGGTCGACGTACCGATACACCGCCATCCCACCGCCGCCACCATCGAGTATCGTCCGTAATCGAAGACGGGGTGAAAATGCGAGAGGTCGATTTCGTCGGAAGCCTTCATTAACGAAATCCTTAAAGATCCGCATGGTAACGTATATTTAGCGAAAACCGCCAACGTTCGGCGACGTCGTCTAATCGTTGTGGATAAACCCCGGGTTGGGCATTTGGAGAAAAGCTGCGGTAGATTTTCCGTCAATCATCGATCTATTAATTAATTTTGAAGTAGAGAATCTCGTTTTACGCCTATTCTAGCCTATTCTATAGGCTGTGTAGGTTTTAATCACGCGCGCGTTATTCAAAATGAAAAATATTATTTTTCGGTTTTCTCATTCTCTCCGCTCATTCTAGGAACCGCTCATTTCTCTTGGAAAGATATAATAATACTGCCAATAAACTTCCACACGAGACGCGGTCATCACTTTCTCATTGTTGGCTGAGTCAGGCAACGCATTATGTCGGCCGAAAGATAAAAGGAAGATTGTAATCTTATTAGTGGTAATTAAGCGCATGTGGTATTACTGATAATGCACTTTACACACCTTTGCAGCAAAGCTCTTAATGTAGACACATTGGCCTCTTTAGCGATGACGCGAAATACGTTGGGAACGCGTTTCTCAACAGGAAAGTTACTCATTCCGACAAATTCGCGCTCCTGGCCCGCCTCAATTTGCATATGCAATTACTTGCACTCTACACTCTAAAGCACAAGCTCTGTATTCAGAAAATTTCAATTAAAATTTCGCAGCAGAGGTCGTCAGCCAACTGATGTTACACGGCTGCTTTAACCTTGTATCTTTAAACGTTGCGAGCTTTCCTCGTCTTCTCTACGGTGAAATACATTCTTGTTGTTTACAACGTCCTGTTTTTATCTTATTTTATAAGCCAATCCTCCTCCCCTCACCCGCCTGTCTCGTAATATTCGTTGCAAAACACGACCGCGCGCTCTCCCACGGGAACAAATGATTTTCATTTAAAGCCTTAATGGCTCAGTCGCCAGAGAGGTAACTCGTTTCGCGAAGGATTCGAAAGGTCAAAATCCGCTATTACATTTCGGTATGCTGGCGCTTGCGTTTGCTCGTTAAACAGGAACTGCATCCGCGTTGATTGCGGCCAACTCTTCAAGGGCAATTGTCGGGAAGTTCGTTGTTTGTCGTTCAGGGGCAATTCAAAAGTTCGGCTATAGAAAGTATGAACGCGGGCGAATGGGGGCGAACGATCCAACTCCCACAGCTCAATTTCTGACGTTTATGTTAGACGGACGCGTTTCTTGAACGCGAAAAAACGCGCGATTTTTCGTTCTCGACACAAGTAAATTATTTTTAGCGCACTAATCATTCCTCAATCTTCGAAAGAAAAGAGATTTATGGTTACCCCGATAATGCCACCGTGCGTACGTCAAATGACGAACAACGTGCTCCACGTTGTGGACGAATAATGAACCATTGCCACGGGCGGCTTGGACATTGGCTGGAGAGGTAAAGTTTATTACTTAGTTAATTGACTTAGTTCCGCGCCGTCTTATAGTCGCAAGCTTTTCCGATTGCCAGCCGGAACTTTCGCAGAGGTCACTTCTCATTACGCGAATTCCTACATTGGGACCAACTTAATCGTCACGAGATTAAGAGGAAAAGCTTTCACGATGACCGCGATGATTGAGGAGCTCCTTCCCGTCGAGACGTTTAGGCAGTCAAGTCAGCTCCACTTTGAGCATAAAGGTATCAAGGAAGCACTCATTGAATAATAAAAGACGCTCTGTGTGTAACCTTTAATACTTATATCTATAATGCATACTTCGTCGCCCGGAGAAGGATTAACCTTCCGCTAGTCGTGGCTCTTTGTGAAACAAAAATGGAAATTTCATTAAACGTTTTATCAATTAAGCGGAAAGTATAACATTTTTAAGAAATAACCTTGTGAATAGTAAAAGAAACGTTCTGTGTAACCTTTAATACTTTAACATCTATAATGCACATCGCTCGGATTCGTGTGATATTTTTATAATTTTAGAATTATTTAATGAAAATTAAATAGTACGTTCTTACGCTTATATATTTTCCATATTTCGACTTTTCAATTGTTCTGCATGCTCGGTTGTTACTGATTGATTCCGCCATTGAACCCGTATGAAACTAATTAAAAATGGGACAACACAGACTCTTATTTCTAGAGACTCTAATCATTCCAATCAAATAAATGCGCGAATTTAAATAATAGTGACAATAGTTATTATAGAATTTTATGCTCCCACATGGTTAATTAATATTTGAAGGATTATAAGATCCTAATAGAAGTAAAAATTACGTAAAATTTTGAGAGTACGTAAAAAAGTATAAAACAAATATTGGAAAACAATTCATTATAAAACTTTAATAACTTATTCTTGAAATAACATTTTTTAAAACTGCAATCACAATAACTTGAGAATGTTTTACTTGATTAACGTAATGTTTGACACAAATGTTTATCATAATTGTCTGTATCGGTCCACGAAGGCTATTTGAAAATGCCAAAACAATTTTTTATTTATTTATTTTGCAAACTTGAATTTTTCAGTGAAAAAATTAAATCTGATTTTTTATAACTGCCATTGCGCGAAACATTGTTTTCCAAAAATTTGCTTTGTGAACCGGTAATTATAATCCTAACAAATAAAAAAATATATTAATACTCCCTTTGAAGCTAGAACGGTTACCGTTGAAGCCCGACTTTTTTGCAGAACAGAATTGAAACAATGTTAATATTTGCCATAAAATCTAGTTTTTTATATTAATGTATTGTTAAATATACTTAAAACATACATTACAAAGAATTCATACTCCTATTAATTTACAAGTTTTTACAACTCTTCAAACTCTTTACTTCTGCCAGGGTTCTGTAACCCTCTAAATGACGTGTAAGTTTCATATCAATTACTAAACGCGCCTCACGTTTCAAGATTCTATTCGGAATTAATCACGACGATTAATAAATCATCTCTTCGCCAGAGCGTGAATCCGCTCACGGATACGACTCTCAGTCGCACCTCGCAACGTCGGGGGATGAAAGTCGTTACGGTTGACGGAGGGAATTTTCCCGCCCGGAATGCGACAGGGCGAGCACGTATGTTAATGTCGAATGTGTCCGCGTGTCATAATGTCCGCGCGCTTTCTCCGGAACGTTCCGTTTCGAGCAGCGCGGAGCTAACGGGAGCGATTGAAGGAAGGATCTAGGATCTACGTGGATCACGTTCGCGTGCAGCAGGGTACAACCGTGGCAACGGGCTATCTTTCTTCGCGTTGCCCGACGTATGGGTTGTAGGAAAAGCGAGAGCGGCTGCGCATTGCCGGCATCGCCGCGAAAACTCCTCTTGTGGCACACAGGGGTTGGTGAATATCACGGGGCAACAGTGCGCGGACCGCCACCACGCGACGCGGCTGCTCCTTCACGTGCGGTGTAACAAATTGCTCTGTTGAACGCAAGATCGGCCACCTGGACGCAACACACCCCTAAAAGAAAAAGAAGAGTACACCATTCGAGCGAGCGCTCATCGCTCGTGTCGGGGGAAATTCGCCGGGCGAAAGCAAAACGAGAAAAGAAAAACAATTCATCGGTCAACTCAATTTGTCTGGGAAACAATTCGTCAGCCGTTGTCTCGTTCCGTGTCGAGTCACATCGCATCGTGCTCGTCGTCGTCGTCGTCGTCGTAGTGCGCTTGCACTAGCCGATACTGTCGGAGAGGGAAAAAAGAAGCGGATAGCAATCTAGGGTACACACGAAAATGCACACGCCATGTCCGAAACAAACTCTAGGGACGCGATGCATCATTCCATGAATCTGCCCGCCAAATTAAGCGCGGAGAATTCCGGCTCGGTATCAGCTCTCCCGAAAATAGTTTAATCCAGTGCAGTGCGAATCGCCGCGCGGAACCACGACGACAGTCATTTTACCGCCGATTTTACGCCGACTGAATGACTCGCGGCTTGGATTGTTAGGGAGTCCTGCCTGTGAAAAGGCTGTCCTTTGATCCCGCGACACTCGGAATGTCGACAAGATAGTAATAGACTAGAAACACACGCCTACGCGGCTATTCGTTTAATGATGATGCACCGCCGCATGGAAGACTCGTCGATCGCGGCGTTTTAACCGAACATCCTGGTGGCCGAGTGTGCTCCGAAAACATTCAATTACAACGCCGTTAGTTGATGAGTGTAGGAATAATCTCAAAGTACTCGCCTCTGCGGGAGTAATCGGAGAGGGTGATCTTCAAGGATTAAAGGGTGAAAGCGCGCGAGTGAATGCTCAATTAGATTGGACATGTCGCGCGAACGTATAAATTGGACGTGCCGATAGAGAAGCTTAATTGAGAAGAAGGTGTCGAGATAAATGGCAACCTCGGAGTACAGTTCACTGAGTGTTAACGCGTGCCAAAACGGCTGAATAATAAGGAGTTAGCCCCCTGATCTGATATTTTCCGCGGGATCAAAGGGTGAACGCTCGATTCGATACCACGTGCGTTCGCACAAATTGTTGCGCGATACATTAATTGATCACGGCGATAAAGCGACTTCGGCGACACACTTTTCTCCCCGGAGAGCCGTCGGGATAAGTGACACCGCGGGTGAGAGCGAAATTCGACCAAAGCGACCGAATAATAACGAGGGATCACACGGAAATTAGGAAAGGAACGCCGGGATCGATTTCTGGTGAAACCGAGAAATGTGGCGTGGCGAGGAATGCTGCACAACTCGACGGTAATTCGCGCGCTCGCTCTCGCTTTATTACACCTTTTCAAGCGCACCTTAAAGCGTCGCTGCGGCCGTACCGCCGACGTTAACGAGTCTGAGGCATTAGGATTTATCCATTGTATCCGCTATAAATATGCGCTGTTTAATGCGATCGCTCCCCTAGAGCCTAGAATCCGCTTATTGGAGGCCCTTTTCAACGGATATTGGAGATATTTTCCGACGATAACACGCGCGTACCACCTTCGACGATCGCCAGTGTATTAACTGTCGCCGCTGCGTACACAACGCGGCCATTCTATGGAGAAGCTAACAATGTCTTAACATTGTGGTCTTAGTAATTATACTATGGTAACATTAACGGTGAAATTCGGAGCGTAATGCATTCCGGCGCGATGCCTACTAAAATGTTAAAAACCATAATTGTTATAAAGAGAATCTCATAGTCAAAATTACGAGGAATTACTAAATACTAAGGTTTTTAAAAATTTAGTTATTAATTACTCTAGAAGTGACTAAGAGTGCTAAAATTTATAAAAAGAAATTACTGTAAAAAATGTAAGAAATCTACTAAATAGAATTTTATAACCGAGGAATAGACGGACATTTTGCAGCGATTGACTATCTTTTCGTTTCATATGTGATGCTTATATTTCAAGACCTGAAATATAAATAGCACATATAAAAAATATTTATCACTAATAATATATTTAGTTAAATCTAAATCCTTTTATTCATAAATAGAATAAATAATTGCTTTCATGAAAAACCGAGATTTGAAAAGAATATATATATATATACATTTCTTTATGTGAAAAATATTCTATATTAGTACAAATAAATGTTATTCGTACCTATTGAATAAATATTTCTTATTTTTTTTAGATATCTTTTCTCTCAATGTATGTTTCTAGCGAAATTTACTTACATCCTTTAGTAAGACAGATTCATTGATAGTCTATTCAGAAACTGCTATCAGAAACTTATTGAAATTGAAAAGAATATATACGGAAAGAAAGCTATAACTTTGTCAGTGCTAGGTAGATTATTTAAGAAACATAATCTAACTCGCGTGCGTATCACTTCGACAAAACAAACATGAAATTAATTCGGCATAGTTCTCAAACAAATTTAAACCGTTTTGTCCGCGCTTCTCGCGTTATGATGACACACTTTACGGGATGTTTAATATTTTTCGTGTAATTTAGCGTTAAGATGTAATACGTGCTTTACGAGGAGACGACGTCGGAGTCGCCGCGCTTACGCACTCCCATATCCCATATTCGTTCAAGGTCCTTTTTTTAGCGCGATCGTCTTCTCCGCTTTCTATAGAAAATTAAAACCATCAACAAGCTCGAAGAGCCATATTCCCTTCTCAGATTTTTCCTTGCAAGTTTAGTGCATCTTGTCTAAGGAAACATGCGTGCTTCACCTGAAACTCCCGCTGGCATGATCTCGCCAGTGCCGGGAAACTCAATATCTTTGGTCTTTTGAAGCGAACTGTGCTGAAAACTTCGGCGCTCGTGTAGCGTAAGGGATAGTTGTTGAAATTCAATGTACGACTTCCGCGAGCCGCCTCGGTAATGGCATGTTACTATTGCTTTTCTGTTTTCTCGCCAATACAAAAGAAATCTGCTGGTATCGGACATATCGCGCGAGATCCCAAGCACGGAGTGACTGATTATTACACAGAGATAACGATTTTAAACATATACAAATACACTCGCGATTATAAAGCTGGCGGGAGATGAAGGTGAAATAAATCTCTTAGAATCTCTGACGGACGTGGCCGTCGATTTAAAATAATTCTGCCGGGTCTGGGGATTTAAACGGTCGCGCAAACGTCGAAACAAATGTCGATTAGTTCACGAAACAGCGCTTATTATACGAAACACGGAATTGACGAACTGTTTCAACTCGTAATCCATGATTACCCAGCGGCTAACTTCTCACTTTGACCGGCCCGTTCTCTAAACTCAAATTTAATCTCCATCGCATGTCGGGCTTGTCTCGGCCGAAGGACTGTCCCTCCGGTACACATCTCTGTCTGTCGTGAAGTTTAGAAATCGAGACATTTGTTTTCCAAAGTGTTCCCCGGTTAAATATCAAGTCGAGCATTCGCAATGCAAGTTACAAGATTAACTAATGGTCCGTGGAAAAGTTAAACCAGACGATAAAAATGTACAAGTTGAAAGTGCCCGCCGATAATGCGTCTCAGAATTACAGTCTTCAAAGCTGTAGGATGAAATTCGTGGAGTCCCTTCCAGTTTTGCTCGCAATCCGCTTGTTGCCACTTAAAAAAAGAAGGAGCAATTTGTCAAAGCGCTTTCTTACGTTACTAATCGTTACAGAGAATGGAGTCCTGAACGATATCTAAAGATCTGGGTCTCTTCATCCCTCTGACCTTTTTTCATCCACCCTCTTTGCATTTCGTTTTTTTAGTTACCTGCTTAGCTTCATTATTTGTTACGCGTTGCTGTATTGCCTCAAGGCAACTTTATTCGAGTTGAGAAACATTTTCACGAAAAAAAAAAGAAATAACAGACGTTATTATAATTTAATTTCTCAGTGGCAAATTAAATAAAATATTCTTCGTTCGCAGTTGCATGTATTCATGCAATCGTAGGAAAGTGGTCCCGTTCAGTTTCGTGGATTCTCGATGTACAATTGGGCACTCTCTAGAGGCCGTTGTTCAATTAGCAATCGCAACCTCGAAGAAATCCCAACGGGAGCTGCGAGTACCGCTGATACAGCAACGGCTCAACGGTAACAATTATCACATTTATCATGTTTTTCATAGAATATTCCAAAGTGAAATTTTGAGGCCACTGGGACGTATCATTTAATTTGCACGCCCAGATAATATTCACTCGCGCAGACCGCCCTCCGATGCCATTCCAGACTTCGTGACGTCGTTATCGCGGACACCATGAGGCATCCGAGACATTTCTTGAACAGACAGACCTCACGTATTCCCGACTTCCGACGTCGGGGATGACCTATAGGAATACTGGAACTATCCGTCCTATAACGCATCATACGACTCTACGTTCTCTATGTTCGAATTGAATCGACCGCCCACCCTTTACCAAGACATACGTGGGACGCACGACCGCAATTTGCGCGGTAGGTCAGGTACGGTGGATCTGCCCCTCTACGAGAGCCATCGTGTCTTTCGCTCTTATGTCAAGCGAAAGTGTCTTCCCTTCTGTCGGTCCCGCCGTGGGAACCCCGAAATAAAACAGTTTTATTGTAGCGAATAAGGCAATGAGGATAAAATAGGGAAATGAGATAAATAATGCGACATTTCAGGATTGAGTTTCATAAATATGATTTATACGAATCGAGAACGAGGAAAAGCAGAAAAGAATAATAAATAATGATTAATAACGAGCGCGCGTAATGGAGCTTTGTTCCGCGCAGTGAAGGATACTAAAAAGGATCAATATGTAACATTTTTTCCTTTTCAAATGTATATACATGTATGCGTTCAACGTAAAAAATGTCAACGTGTATTACCCTTTTGTGACAAACCAAGCATCGTCTTGAGATTAATTAATTAAAACATACATTCAAAATTACATGAAAGAAATATACATTGCTCTTAAGAGTAAAACATATATTTACTTTGAATGTATGTTTTAATTAATTACTCGTCCGCGCGCCCACAGGGATCCCTTTAGTGACTATTTTTTTATTTTTTTTTATTATTAGGACGAGAAAATAAAGGATCGTGTAGAATTCGTGTGAAAAGTTATACCAGCCAGGCGATTAAAAAATATCTAAACAATTATTTTTCCATCGTCAACGTTGATACCTATTTTGATGTTAATATCCTGCGGCTATTCACTCTCTTTTCATGCGTATTGTATTCTATGTGAAAGTAACATGCAATATGCATTGAGTCTTCAGTTATTTTACGCTTGCAAACAATATCATGCAATTACAATGATAATTTAATAGAAGCTGGTGCAATGAATCGAGCCGAATATTACTGGAAACCACTTGATTTATACACCCGTAAACTCCAATCGTTTCCAAGCGACTCGCGTAATTTCGGGTTTCATCTATTTTATATTTGTACAGTAAAGATTATGACTTTTAAAGGTTACACACATTTACGAGCAGCGCGCTGGTCGTCGGTGATACGGCGACACGTACGTAAAATTAATCGCATTCGTCTTACTGTGCCAGACGCTGTCAAGTTGTAACACGCATTTAAAACATTTAAACGCGGCCAACAATTTCATTGCTCGGGTGAAAAGTTAGCGGGCTCGTTAAGTTACCTCTCGCTAGTCTCGTATCGTCGTTGCTTTCTCGCTACGTTAGCATTAAGCGGATTACACGATGAAGTTTTTGAGTGAAGGAACGGACGAACGAACGAACATATGTCTCACCAAATGAGCCGTCGACTTCTTCAATCGCGGCCGGTATTGTTCGCGAAACCTCGTGATTTCAAATAAAAAAAAGAGAAAAAAGAGGAAAAATGGTCTAACGAAGTAATAAGACTCGGCTATTAAATTCGTATTGTGCCAGCGCATTATAACTCTTGAGCTTTGAGCTCCTTAACAAAAAAAAAAAACGAGCGAAAGAAACGAGCGGACCGTATATTTCGAAACATTTCGTACGCCTTTATAACAGAGTTTGGAGCTAACAGCATTAGCGACGCGATACTATCGCGTAACTGTATTACGTCTTAATGGATCTTTTGACTGCGACAAAGGGAGGTAAATGCCACCGGACATTTACTCGTGACCCTCATCGGCTCGTCCCGTAATTATGAACGTTGATATTTTTCACGTCGATACAAGCCTCACCGAAGTCTCTGAGCTAATCTCGACCGCGTAATAACGACGTAGATAACAATTTGAACGCGCCCAGTCGAGGACTTCTCTAATCTCATTTGAAACTCCATTACCTGCCGATGGAAATCAGATTACTGTGGCTGCAGGTTGGCCTCTGACCGCTTTTCTTTCGCGGTATCTTATCTTTCGCGATATATTCCGGAACGTGATGTTAGGCATTCTGCTGCCTGAAATGCGATAACTGTTTCGGTTATTCGTTTCGATACGAGTGAAATATATATTTATTAATTTCGCATTAATGATAATGCTAATATACGCCTATATATATACACACAAATTTTGGGTGTTTCCATCACAGAGAATATCCCGCAATCTACATATTATTGTTTGCTTTATACCACTGGTGCATACAGGGACATAAGATAAGAGCAGCATAAAGAGCGAGATTAACAAACCGACACGGTGAATTTTAAATTCTTATCACGATTCCAGAGAAAGAGATTCGCTGTCTCAAAGAAGCATTTATATACTTTCTTTCTTACACTCAGTTATATTTCTCGCGGCATAATATCTCTGTCTGAATTTCATTCGCGCTTGTCTGTCAATTTAATGAAATTATTTCATTCTGGTAAGCCTATTATTTGAAATAGAGAATGTCGAGTTTTCCGAGCGTAAAATCGGACTTTGATATCGGGCTGGCCTACGAGCAATTCATGTATGAATATTTCCATTAGCAGATTACACTATTTTCCAATTGCACCGACGAGCTTTGTCACAATCCTTGTCGTTTCGATAATAGCTGTAGATTATAATTAATTAGGTCTCTCGCACGCATACACAGTTCCTTACAAACGAGCTTCTCAGACGATCTTTCCCGAAAGCAGACTGAATGCAAAATACTTCAATAGAAACCTGGCGAAAACTTCCCTCCTCTCGAGGTATACACAGGAGTATCCGATACCGGGTTGGAGGGTGGTGTCTATAACACACAAGTGGATAAACTTTTAACCTATAAATAGCGAAAGGCTCAAACAGTTTTGCGAGTTACTTGCCCGTACGGCGAGATACTACCTGATTTATCTGTAAGCACTTTTTCGATCACTGAGATGAAGAGGCGTAATAAAACCTACTGTATCTCTCATTGATCTTGTACATGTATAGGAAAACTTCTCCGTCGTCTAAATTCATCATGTTGGATAATATCCGCGAAAAAATGTAATTTACGTTATTATTGTTAAATGAAACTAATTATTCATTCCTTTTAAATTAAAGAATTTAGATTTATAAGTAAATATATTTGTGGTATCCCCACTATAAATAAATATTTACCAAATAAATAAATAATTTACCAAATAAATAAATAAATATTTACTAATTTTTAAATATTTATTCTTTCTATGTACTGGTGTAAGTTTTATTCTAATTTATTCTAATCTCATTTCATTAGAATTTTATCCTAATTTCAAGAACTCCGTTAAAACTGTACATGAACATTACACTGAGAAAAAAATTTACTAAATTTCAAAAAACGTTTATTTGAATAGTACTGTGAAGATATTTATTTAAGTAATTATTTTCTAAAATTAAATAAAAAAGTTTTAAATATAAATTTGTTTTTTTAATTTTAGAAAATAATTACTTAAATAAATATCTTCACAGTACTATTCAAATAAACGTTTTTTGAAATTTAGTAAATTTTTTTCTCAGTGTATGTTAAAAGTGAAACAACAAAGAAAACGATGACTGCAACTCACAATAAATGATTTAATAAATTTGAAATCAATTTTTCGATAATATATACATCTAAATAATATCAAATATAAATAAAACGTTTGTATTTCTTTATTATAGTTCACATAAAGGCATAATCACATTCTGCGCACAAAAGAATTGATTCCTAATTGTAAATTTGAATTTATGCGCATTCCTCTCAGCGCTTAGCTCTCATAGACCCTTTTTATTTATATCTGATTGTACATCTAAGAGCTTATTAATTATAAACTATCTAAATAATATTTAAATACACACAAAATAAGCGTGTCAGGTTTATTCGACTTCTTAACAGCTCGCGAGCTAATTTGAGTTTGATTTGTTAGCAGCTTCGAATAAATTCCGCAATTCGGGCATGATTTCTGACTCGCCTCCTTCTGTTACAGATGAGAAGGAACCGGAAGAACGTCCCGCGTCGTCAGAGAATCGACGACTGATTATGACGCGCGTCCGCACGCGGCGGCATCTCTCTCGTCTCCTTCTGTTGTTCTCTTCCTCCGGAGTCCTTCAAACACGCCATTGCTTGACCCTTCTTCTTCTCGGCCTTACCTCTCTGCGCACAGTCTTACCATGCGACGAGAAGACGAGGCCCCAGAGCCGTGACCCGAGCGCACTTCCTCGCTATATTGAGGTGAGAAGATATTCGCGGAGGGACTTCGACGCTCTCGAGGCGACCCCGGAATGGACGCGAGCCGAAGCTTCCGATATGACTGGCCAAAGTGCTAACGACGTGGCCCGTGGTTATCGTCGAGTCAGCGATTCATTAAAGGACGAACGAAGCCACGATGGGCTCGGTCAAGTGACAGGACGAACTCACATCAGCGATGGTAGCTTTGTGAGCAACGCTGGCGATCGAGCGCGCCATTTGGGAACCGCGATTAATTACTCGGAACTCGATGGTCTCTCGGACGATCCCGTGGAAAATCGACGAGTTGTTGACGCGATCAATCTGAAGAATATGAGGCAAAGCGAGGCGAGTGCGAGGAATTGGCTCGGCCATTTGGTGAGGAAGCGTGGTGACGCGTCGGTGTTACAAACCACTCTTTATCACTCGGAGAAACAGGCTGTGAGCGAAATCCAATTCCAGGACAATCGAGACTACGATAATGAAACAAGTTTGGCTATTCCAAACGGACCAGCCGGCCGAAGTGTAGGCGATTCAGCCAGCTTCGCCGTGCATGAGCACGATGCGGAGGTTGCATTAATCAAAGCTCCGCTTGATTATTCGAATCAGTCACGTTTGCGCGAATCTTCGAGTATCAGTCAGCCTCAGGGGCTGATGGGGAGCGGACGAGATCGCGATGAAACCGGTATCGGTCCCGACGTAGCGCCAGGGCGAGCTGATCCAGACGCCCGCGATGCGTTCGAAACGCTCGTTAATCGTGCGAATGAACGCGCGAGCAATTATTTAGCCTATCGAAGTTTGCGTGGAAACGAGGCCTCAAGTGATATGAGCGGGCGCGATATTGACGTAGTAGCGGCGAGGCATCGCGACGATTCACCGGGGAATCGGAGCGACGGCAAGACTGTCGGTTTCGAGGCCACGAAGCAAACTCATTTAGACGCTCGTAATATCTATCCACTTGATAATCAAAACGGCAATACACGCGACAGCACGGCCGATTACCTCGGCGAGAGCAATAACTTCGACGTGGCTAATGAGTCTGCGAACTCGCTGAACGGTCCGTACGTCGATATCACCTCGGTTGACACACTTCTCGGCGATGACTTCGACGATGACGGCACTACCCCGATGGAGGGCCGCGTCGAGCTAGACGAGAACTCGCCGGTTGAGAATGGCAGCTCGGGATACGCCGATGATTTCTCGGATATTCTCGGCGAAACGGGAACCCGCACCGTTGTTGCTTGTGACAAGAGCATGTGCCGCGAATCGGATGATAACGATATTCGGGTAGTTAGAGCGAAAAAGTTCGGCAGAGCAGAGGAGTCGAGCGGCGAGCGGGGGAATTTCGTTCAAGTAAACGACGTATCCACGATACCTGCCAACTACAGCGATACCGATATCGACAGCGAAGCGCCTTTCACAGGCTTCGAGGGTTCTCAGAAATTTCCCGTAAAAGTCAATCAGAAGACGTCGGCGACGGCGGCGCAAGTCGAAAAGTTCGACAGGCGACACTTCGGCCCGCATAAGGAGGACGTGCTCGAGGAAACATCTACGTGGTACGCGAGCACCGTGGCCCCCGACCTGCCGAAGAGCTCTTCCAGAGATGTGCTTCATCGTCAACGCAAGACGAGCCTTGCTTACGATGACGTCACGGAGACAAGCGAGGGAGACAACTCGGGCGACGAGACGATCGAACCTAGCGAGAAGCGGAATGACACCCACGAGGGATCCTCCTGGCTACCCGGCACGTCGTCGGGCAGACGTTTGCCGAGTTTGCCAGCTGCCAAGTCCAGCCCCGACGAAAAACTCGCGACAACCACGGGCATGGCGGACGGTGACTTGGAGGGCGCGACGCGCGGCGGGAGGATGGATATTGGTGTAACAGTGTCGAGTGCGAAGTCGATCGACAAGATAAATATAACCATCTTGGGTCTCTTCGAGATGACGCACGGGTCGATGCCGAGGCCGGAAGGATCCAGCGAGCTCCAGGCGGCCAAATTGGCGGTCGATCGTGTCAACCAGTTGGACGTCTCCAAGTATTTCCGGTTGCGGCTCATTTACAATGACACTAAGGTAAGCTGAGCGTCACAAAGGTAAACGATGTTAAAGGCATTGTTACATTGTTGTTGTCGTTATTTTGCATGCAGTAATGAAATATTTATCTCTCGCGACGATAAAAAACAAAGTTATAATTCAATATTCCTCGCACGCACAAACAAGCCGTTTTAATTGTAATTGGAAAATTAAATAAAATGAATCGCTCGCAATATATGATTTCTCTTTGGATAAAAATTATATGGATAAAGAGGAGAATTGATACGTACCGCTTTCCGTCCGAAACAATTCCTGCGTCATTACTCGCCTCGTACACAATTGATTTTCGTGTGCGATTTGCCGATACGGGGATAGTGTAATCCGTGGGGATTATGCTAAATCTCCGGTCTGCTTCGAATCTCATTGGCAAGAAATTATTGGGCCAGAACGTAACGTAATCTATTCAGATCAATGTGTGTCGCGAAAATTCGCCGTTACTCGCAAGATAATTTCTAATTACCTCTCTTCAGTTAATGATTTATCAAGTGTCCCGTAGATATTCGTTACTTAAGTTTTTTTCATTGCGCCAGGATGTCATTGCGGCGGGATATCAAAAAGTCGTAATAAATCGTACCTTACTACTATCGTTACATTTGCGCGCAGCGTTGTCGTTTTTACTTCATGGCAAGAAACATATGAATAGCTAATAGGGTTTCACAAAACCCACATAATATCAAACAGGCGTACAGGGTGTGACACTTACATACAGACCAGTACGACGGATTGCCTATGCATTTCGCTGGCAGACGTGCGTAGTCGTGCGCGGTCTCAGTAAGCCTTGGCGTACTCACTTGGAACGTAATTTTATAGGAAAGAAAGCATACAAGTGATTTCGCCAAGGCCGGCTAACACGTAACACTCATAAAGTGTTATGTCTCTTTCTATTTTTATGAATATTACATTTTTATAAATATATATTTTGGCTAAAATTGGCCAATCTGATGTATGGCCGTTCGGGCGGCAGTGATATATGTACATCGTTGAAATGCAAAATACTTGTCTTAATAAGCGTTTTTCCAAAAGCATCACAGGTCTTTGGAATATGTCAACAGGGTAAAAAGTTATACATTCATAAGCAGTCGCTAGTTTCATGATTGGCCAAATTTTGGCCCAATTTTTGGCAAATGTTCTCATTTCGCGCGCAGTAATGTTGTGTTATTAAATTTCTCTCGGCGAGTAGTTTTCAAAAATATGTATACATGTTCTACTTTGAAAAGTAGAAACGTAACACTTTGTGAGTGTCTCTTGCATGATCGTACACAACTACACGCACCTGCCAACGAAACGCATAGATAGCAAAGCCGTCGTACTGACCTGTATGTAAATGCAACACCCTGTACGCACGAGTGGGATTTGAAGTTGACGCGAATTTTTCGGACTCCCTCAGCTGTCGCTAACACGTTGCATCGGGGATTTTCGAAGCTCCCGGCTTGAAATTTATACGAGGGTGGTCTGAAAAGTTTCCGACCTAACAAAGATACAAGTCATTTTTTCTGAAAATTGTTTTTTATTTTTCAACATAGTCTCCTTGTAAATCTACACACTTCTCCCAGCGATGCTCCCATCTCTGTAACCCGTCGAAATAGTACTCGGCGTTTTTCTCTGCAAAATAATTGTTCACGAAGGTGATTGCCTCTTCATTTGACGAAAATCTCTGTCCTCCGAGCGCAATTTTTAGATGAGGGAACAAAAAGAAGTCGCTTGGGGCTAGATCTGGTGAGTAAGGTGGATGGTCAAGCAGTTCAAACCGTAATTCGTGGATTTTCGCCATGGCAACCGCTGAGGTGTGAGA